GTATGTGATGGAGCCACTACTAATAAAAAAATGTGGAAAGAACTAGGAGTTAATGGAACTCAAGATAAATTAAAACATTATTTTGAGCATCCATTGGACGAAAATCGAAAGATTTATGCATTTTCAGATTTTGTACATGTTTTTAAATGTGTGCGTAATCGTCTTTACAACAATACATCTTTAAGAGTAAGGATTTTAATTTTTTTTTATGTGTATATTATTTATTAATCTTATGTATGAAATGTTTCGTTATAGCTTCATCATGACAGTGATAGTGTATCATGGAGTTATTTTAAAGAAGTATACAAAAATGATATTTTACATCCTGCAAATTTGAGATTGATACCAAGGATAACACCCCAACATCTTGAACTCTCCTCTATGTCAAAAATGAGAGTACGCCTTTGTACACAAGTGAGATATGATTTACCTCGTGTTTTTCTTAATGTTTTTTCAGTCTAATACAACATCATCTAAACTGTAGTGTGCAGACCAAATATTTTAAGTTTTATGTTAAGGGACTTATTATTTCATACTAAACTTGAATTTTGTTTGTTAAATATTTTAATTAATAATGATTGTTATTTTTTTTTCTAATGTAAAATACAGTAATTTTGTACTTAATCAGGTTTTCAGTATGAGTATGGCACATGCATTAAGATTTTATATGAAAAAAGGTTGTTTGATGCTTAAAGGTGCTTCAGAAACTGCAAATTTTGTAGAATATTGGAATAATTTATTTGACAATTTTAACAGAATTTTACCTTGGCAAGGACTTAGGATTGGTGATGAAGGATTTAAAGTAGATACTAAATTGTTGAAATATTATTTTTATTGTTAACCCGGATTTATTATTTATATTTTAGAAGTTCTATGATGCCATTAATTACTTAAATTCTTGGGAAAATGAAGTAACTGCTCATCATATAACACCAGAAGAGTTTTTAACACCTCAAACTGCACAGAGTCTCCGAGTAACACTACATTCTACAATAGATCTTTCTATGTATTGGAAAAATGTGGTTTTGAATATGTTCTTACGGGGAAAATGTGTCAGGATCCGTTAGAAGTAAGGCAACTCCTGTTTAGTTCTAAATTTTTTTTAATTTTTGTTTTTTTTTTTTAGAAATTTTTTGGTATTATTAGACAGGCGGCTGGTCCAAACGACCATCCCACTACACCCACTTTCTTACATTTGTACAAAATTCTTTCTGTATATTCGGTGCTAAAACCACCAAAGTATGGAAATTGTACAGTTGTAAATTCTGATTCACAAAAAATATCTTTAGCAGACATTCGAGATATTTTTCATGAAAAACCCTCAGAAAGATGGGAAAAAATTGAAAAATTAAAAATAAAACTAGATAGTCTTGTGGAAAACAATGAATGGGAAGCATGTGATGTTCTTCCTATTATTGATTCAGATGGTGAATCTAGTGTACAGGATTGCATAATTTATTATGTTTGTGGGTATGTAACCAAGAAAATACTTAAACACAAAAAATGTAGCAAATGCATTGCGTTTTTAAATAATGGTGTTGTTACACACTCTGCAGGAGAACTCGTTGTTGCCAAATCTAGAGGTTTATTAGTACATCCTAATGGATATTTGTTTGATTTTTTGAAATCTGTTGAACATTCTTTTGCTAAATATTGTGGTGATTTAGATGTATTTGAAAAAGTTATAAGTGACATAACAAAGGATATTAATTTTAAATTCTCATGTAGCTTACACTTGGTAGAAGTTACTACTGAACTAATTGTTTATTATATTCAAATGCGAATGAGACAGTATAGTTACCAAGAAAATCTCAAGTGCAAAAAGTTATCCAGGGAAAAGAAAAAACAGTCAAAATTATGTAATACATAATATTTTACTTTAAATAAACATTTAAAACAGGGTTTTTATTGCTTTTGCTGTTTGCTTGATGCTTTTATATCTATAATATTATAATTAATTTCAATAAATTGTTGATATATTGTTTCAGGTTAAAGGAATTTCTGTTAAATAAACAAATAACAATGGAAAAACTTAAGACACTCTTAGATATTTCCGGGAGTAATTTAAAATTTGTAAAATTTAGCGAGTTGGAAATCAGAAAAAAATACCACACATCTTCCATTGAATTTATCAAAACCAAATAGGGTGAAAAATTAACTGTTATTTTAGATAATGAATTTAAACTAGATCTACCCTATAGATTTTCTAAATTATCAAAAAAAGATGTTCAAGATCTTAATTTAAATAAAAATTACTTTTTTATTTATAACGGGATGGAAATATTGACGAATGGCCATAAAAAACATTTGATCACATTTGAAAATACTTGCAATTTAATTAAATAATATTTACTTATTTTTAATGATAATATTTATATATTTTTAGAAAAATCTTACAATTTATTTTAAAGCATCTAATATCTGCAATTGAACATGTGTATAGTAACATATGTGTAATAATTAATTAATTTCAAAAGATGGGAATCTTGAAAATATAACCATATAATTAATACATTTAATACATAATATCTTTGAATATCTACATTCCGCAAGCATAATAATCTTAAACATAGACTTTATTTGACATGTAAAACTGATAGAATATTTTTATAACACTGAAATTTATCAGAGAGTCGACTGGCGTGAAGGTGCTCGTACTGGCTCTGGTAAACCACGTCTGAATATCGGGTGGCTGGGTTCCTGTTTTATAGGCCTAATCTCCACTCCTCTCCTAACGAGAAGATAGAGCTGACCCCGTTTACTATTGCACGTGCGCGCAGTGGTGTAGTTATGATTTGGTTCTGGGGGGGGGGGGGATATTAAATTAATTGGATAAACGTAAAGTTTACACACCCCCCTAACAGGTTTTTTTTTTAAAAACATAATTCTATACACAGTTACATTAATACAAACATTTTATTTCCATAAATTCTATAATTTATAAAATAAAATCCAATTTCCTAGGTTTTTTGGCTAACTCGTTTATTATCTCCTCTGTGTCAATGTGTATGTTTTTGTGGACACCCAACATAGTTAAACGATTCAATCGATCCTGTTTAATAACAAATAATGATTATTAATTAATTATTATGAAAATGTAATGACAATCGTTTTATGACAATGAATAAAAAGTTAATAATTTTAAGTCTTACTTGAGACATGGTATTTTTTAAATATGTTTTTATTCTTTTGAGGGATGAAAACATCCGCTCAGGTGTTGTAGTGGATACAGGCAACGTACATAAAATTTTGATTAATATAAATATATTAGGAAATAGATTAGCATCACATTCAATAAGCGCCTGAAGAGCTGATTTTAATACATTATTAGATGATTTGCTTAGTTTGCGCCTCCACAACTTTAGCTTAACCAGTAAAATGTCTAAGTTTTCCACATCTGGTTGGTAAAATTCAACCAATTTTTTAAATGAAGTTTCTTCAACTTCAGTTAAAATTGTATTAGAAGAAAATAAACTCTTAAACCCTAAAAATGTAAAACAATTTCAAATACATCAATAAATAATATTTGTTAATATTATATTATTATACTACCTTTGAAAATGTCTGAGTGTGCCAAAAATCTATTTTCCTATTCAGTTATGAAATAATCAACATTCTAATTTTAATCAACAGTTATTTTACAGTAAGTTTCCACATCTATTTTTTGATCAGACAATAGATTTGCTCGATTTGTTTGTCTTTTATTCAACCGTTTGACTGTCAACTCAATATCCATTTTAACAGCCATTGCCTATTTTTTTTTTTAAATATTTATACAAATAACTAGTATATACTCAACATATATTTGTGTAATTTTTTTAACCTTTGCTTGTAGGAATATTTTTTTGAACTAGTTATCACATTCGCTTCTCACAGATTTCAGTTCTGAAACAATGTCTTTTGTCGGGTCAACTGCTTCTTTTAGATCAATCCTTCTTTCTGTAATTGCTTACATAAAGGAAGACCAAATGAAAACAACAGCTGAATACATAAGAAATTACATTTTTGATTACATAATTTTTACCTATAGATATTTGTTTTAATTTCAAGATTTATAAAAAAAAATACCTTAACAACATAGACTGACACTATAAACTAGTGGTGGGTCGTTACTGCTGTATTCGGTACAATGTAACGATTACATTGGTGGAACGAGTAGGAACGAGTACATTTATCGTTCCAAGTTCGTTCCATCGGTACATTCGGTACAAGGTTTCCAAGTTCCAACTAAAAAATGGTCCCCATCAGGTACCGACTGGCAACTACCGACACCGAGTACCGACGGTGGTCAAATAGTAACGAGTTGTCACGATCATAGACGTATCATTGCTTAATGATTATAAATACTCATAGACCTTATAGTATAATATTAAAGTCTATATGTAAATAATATAAAAAAATTGTATTTATAATCAATGATATAATATACGTATATTATACGTTTATGGTCGTCTCAGTCTACAACTCTACACTCTACACTCTACTTTATCTGCCACTGTTGTTGTTGTTCAATTTGTTGGTAATCGGTGGGAGTTGGTGGTGGTGGCGGACAGTGAATGCACTACTATTTCCTATAATAGATTTAACGCAAAATCATAAGAGTACGATAATAATATTGTGTTTTATTTTTATCATGAGATTTACACAATATTTGAAGTAAAATTATTTTTAGATTATTTTATACAAGTAAACGCGTTGTAGAAATTATTTTTTTTTTGAATGCTCTGTATTATAATTATATGGTTTAGATTTAGACCAGGGGTCTCCAAAATTTTTTATTGAAGGGCCACAAAAAATATCAAATGCTCTTTGCGGGCCAAAAGTTTATTAACACATATAATTTTTAATTTTATGAAAATATAGGTATACAAATATAAGTTAACTTTAAATCTTTTTATAAAATATTGTCTACAATGTAGATTCTACATTGTAGAATTGGTATAAATTTAAATGATAATAATAATTAATAATATATACATTGTAATTTTAATAACTTTTTTTTAATGAGAAGTATGAAATTGATGTTTTTCTGCTAATATTCGATCGAATTGAGGTTGTATGTTGCTAGTTCCAATTTTCAAAATTGACTCCAAGTGTTTGTCAGTCATGGCCGATCTATATTTCGATTTGATGTATTTCATTTTAGAAAAAGTTTGTTCGCACAAATAAGTCGTAGTAAATACAGATATATATTCTATTGCAAATTTTTTTAAATTTGGATACTGTATATCTGGGAGAAATTTATAAAAATCATCTAAAGTCTCTTCACGATGTTTGATTTTCAGTGCATCATTACTTTGTAAATCAATCATTTCCATTTGAAGGGTAGGAGGTAACTTCTCAATATCACAACTAAACGGGTTTTGAAAAATATTTATTTCTTCCTATTTTACGTCAAGGTCAGAAAAACGTTGTTTAAATTGGATTTTAAGTTCAGAAATTATTTTTTGAGCGAAGTCGACTGGAAATTGTGTTTTTGATTCTTTGTTATATTTATCACAAGTAGAAAAATGAATAAAACAATTTTTTGAAATTTGCGTTTCAAATAAAATAAGTTTTTGCCTAAATGCTTTTACTAATGTGTAAACATCGCAAATTAGAACATCTTTACCTTGTAATTTTAGGTTGAAGTCGTTCATTTATTTTGTGATATCCACTAAAAAAGCTAATTTCCAAACCCATTCACTATCTGTAAGTAAAGGCAATGGTCGATTCTTATCAATTAGAAATATTTCAATTTCATTTCTTAGTTCAAAAAATCGCGATTGAACTTTTCCGCGACTAAGCCATCGAACTGCTGTAAAATACGGTATATCTGGGTACTCTGTTTCTATTTCTTTCAGAAAATCTTGAAACTTACGATGCCTAAGTGCGCTCGAGCGAATAAAATTTACTGTTGATATTATTGGATCCATAACACAAGACAAGTCTAAAGTTTTTCCGCATAATGCCTGCTGATGTATAATACAATGCAAAGTCATTGGTTTAAAACCTTTTTTTTCACAATTCGTAAATATCTGTCCAATCAAACCTTTTTTTGTGCCACACATATTTCTTCCGCCATCAGTAGTGATACATTTCAAATTTTCCCACTTCAAATTATATTCTAAAAATGATTTTTCGATAACTTTAAATATGTCGATACCTGTCGTAGTATCATGCATGCTATGTACAGAAAGTAGTTCATTTGAAATTTCTAAATCTTTATTAACACCTCGAATAAATAAAAGTAACTGTGACGTATCAGATACATCTGTTGATTTGTCAAGTGCTATACTAAACGAAATGAATTCTTGAGTCTTATTACTAACCTGAGAATTTAAATTATTACTAATATCGTCAATTCTACGGGTAACTGTGTTAGCAGAAAGGCTAATATTTTTAAAAGTATC